TTATTATTAATTATCATTATTATTATATAAAGTTTAATATATATATTTTAAATAGATTACCTGTTTAATACAATTTTCTAAATTGAGAACTGATTGTACACAATCATATGCAGATGACCAACGTGAACAATCAGAACTTTTTAACCCTCCTTTATTTATCATAAAATTAATTATTTCATTACGCAAAATTGTGCCAGATTGATAAGATGCATGAAAATATATAACAAATGATTGACATTGTTGTAATACTTTTTTTCCAAATGAGGTTTTGCAGATTATATCACTACAAATTAACTGAATATGATGAGCAATACACTGAACTGGTAATATTTTAGAATATTTATTAGAAATATATTGCTTTGCTAATGACATTGCAAATGCACTATCAGATACAACAGCACCAAATTTATCAATACCAATATTAATTAAAACCTTTTCTATTTCATCAGCTGTAAAAATTGCTGTATGAGAATTGATAGAATAATTTTTTATCGAGTACACATATTGCTTTTTATTAGAAATTATAATAATAAAAGCAAAATATGAATGTCCACAATTACTAGTCCAACTATCCAAAGCTAATAATATAATATAATAATATAAATTTATAAAATAAATAAATAAATTTATAAATAAATAGATTATACCTAATGTGAGGTTATTTTCATTTTCAAGTTCTTTCTTAATTGCAATTGTTATACGTGCTGTTTCATAATTAAGCCAATTATTACTTAAAGTTTTTCGATTAGGTGGTTTATATGAATGTATAAATTTTAACAAAAATCCAAAAAAAATAGCTTTCAACAATCCAAAAAGGAATTCTACAGCATACTAAAAATCGGATTAAGGCTTTATTACATAATTGTTCTTGTCTAGGGTCCATTATACTGATATTTGCTATCAATTCATGGTTGTATACCACTAGCAATTTCATGTATAATTTTTTTTTTTTTGGTACAGGAAAATTGTGTAAGCAATCTTGTTTAATATTAAGTAGTGCACTTTAACAAATAAGCTCTAAATGGGCATGCATATTTATATCAGATGCATGTAAGTTTTCTTCTTAACAATAATTACATTTCCAACCTTTATGCCCACTTTCTTGATGATTAATTTCAACAAAATAATTCCAAAGTGGATTTTTTGGCTGCCCTCTTTTATTTTTTTTGTTTGTTTGAACAACATGATCCAATTCTTTAGTATCTACTTCTGATAAATTTGCTACGCTAGGTCCTGAATTCTCTTCCATTATTTAGATTATAATATAAGTTCATTTATAAAAAAAAAAAAACTACTGCTTATTTATAAATAAAAAAACTATCACTACTAAAACATTACAAATTGGTATCTATAGTTATATTTAAATATTTAATCGAT